TTGTTTTGGCTTGCATGTTATGTTGTAAAATGGCTTTAATTTATTTTTGAAAAGTATTTTATTCTTTATATGTTACATAAACTCTATGAACTTAAGTATGGCCATATGAATTCCAAAATTAGCCAGAAACTTAGATTGAGATTGAGTTTATGGCAAAGCCACTACAGCAATATCCACTTAAGGCTACATTTTTAATTAATTTGGGGAAAAGAAAAGGCTTAAACAAGGTATTACCTAATTGTGATAACCAATGATGTGCCCAAAGGAAATAAAAAGGACCATACATACTCCCTAAAAATTTTCCTTTTATCAAAAATTAATTAAAACTAAAGATGGCATTATTCTGCTAATTCTCTTACTGAATATGCTCTTTTTGGGTTACCTTACCAACTAGTTTCTCTTTTATTAGAAAAGATCACATATGCTTATTTTGTTAATGCTTATCCCTTGGATGAACATGTATTGTAGTAGTCAAGCTAGTGAATAATGGAAGATGGATGAATTCAGATAAAGAAGTTACTATTGATATTTCTTAAAACCATGCTCCAGAAAGTGACACAATGTGTCAATAAAATGATACAAATTCAAAGTACGCTGGAGATTGCAGAGAGCCAGCTCAATACAACATTAAATAATACAACATACAACATTCTTAAATTACTTTTAAAACTGTCAAGAAGCTGAAATGAAAGATGAAATGCAAGCCAAGAAAAGAAGTATTACATACTAAGTGATGATGAATGACAACTCAAGAATGCTAAGACTCATAAGCAAATTTCAACTTCTTCAAGCACTTTTGATTCTAATTCATATATATTTTTGAACCCTTTAGCTGAAATTAAAATCCTTCTCCAAGAGGAAAATGTAATGTATACAATTTTGCAAGTTATATAACTCATTAAGAAAAACTTAATTTTTTTTAAAATACTTCAATTTAATAGCAAAGTGTGAGCTTCCAAATTCTGTAATTGGCTATGAAAATGTAAACAGAAAATTTAAGTACACATTACTTGAACACCCTTGGCTGGCTGATCAAATTCGCTGACTAAAATTAAACTAAAGATGTAAACATTGTAATACACTAAAATTAAACTAAAGTGTACTGTAAACATTGTGTTATGTTTGGCAACAGATATGCACATCAATCAAACTTTAAAACAATTAATGCATGGGCCTTTTTACAATTGTTGAAAATGTAATGAAATATTCTGTAACCACAAATAGAAAAATAGCATGAGCATTCCTCATTACTTGCTGATACTTAAAAAAAAAAAAAAAAAATGTTGTTCGCTACAAAAAAATCCACAGTTAATGCAATTAATATTGACAACAGGGTTGCCACTCAAACAGGAGAATGAAATTCCCTGACTTTTCCAGGTATGTTTCGAGAAAATTCCAGTCTATCCGCATAATGTACGTTGGCTGTGCTAAGAGGTAAATAATTATGGTATTACTTTACTGTGTAGCAAATTCACTTAATTATTCATAAATCCCAGAGGACATTTTATTCTTAATTATTCTTGGTACACTTTGTTTTTGATAATTTTTGTTTTTACTTTTCCACTTAAAAAACTTAATAAATTTAAGATATATACATTGGATAACAAACTGTACATTTTATTTAATTATTACTCATGATCATCCCCAGTTCATCACACGAGGCTCATCCGGTTCTTATAAATCACAAAACACAATGCTAAAGTTAGGTTAGATTTTAGGTAAATTTAATTTGTGTGAGGTGTATTCTTAAAAGGCACCTTAACCACTTGAAAACACAAATATAATTATAATAGGAGTTGTTTTCTCCACTGAAGATTGAGATTAGAATCTGCACAATCTGGAATAAATAAGGCTTTTTTTGCAGACATTCTGCAGCTAAACGAAAGAAAGAAATCTATTTAATGATATTTTTTTTTTACTAAATTGAGGTATTTTATATTTATTTCGCAGGCATACATAAGGAAAAATTTGTGCATTAATTTTGTGATGTCATCATACTGCTAGAATTAATTTCGGGATTATGCCAGAGAAAATTTCCTGAAATTTAGATATTATTTACTAATGATAAATAAATTTAGAGGAAAGAAGCAACATTAAATGATATGAATAAACATAAAATAAAGATACTACTTAAAAATTTAATTAGAATAATCAACGATATTTTAGTGAATATAGTTATATTACATGGTTATCCTAGATGACTGATTACTATTTTTTTTTTTTTTATTATTTTACTACAAAATGACAAGGTATTTATTAAAAAGAAAAGAGAAAAAAAAAAAAAAAAAAGATTTTGCGGTAAAATCCTAGTATACGATACGGCCATCGCATGATTTTGAAAATTGTCGCCAAAAACAAAATGACCCGTTTACTGGTCATCATCATGTCGCCAAATCCCGCTGTACCATACATGGAGATTATTCTAACCAAAGAACGCCTATGTAAAAAGCGGAGGGAAAATTTGCCAAGGGATTTGGCGACGGAACCTGGGGCCAGAATTTCCCTCTCCGCGATGTGTACAGGAAATTGAGAAACACGTGTTAAGAAGAAACGTTCTTTACGAAAATCCGTTTTTAAATTATTGCAAAAAATCCAAGAAGAAACGTTTTATCAAAGAACGTTTTTTCTTGGATTTTTCGCAATAATTTTAAAAACGGATTTTCGTAGATTTTTTCCCCCCCTCAAAATAACTAATCCATGAATTAATTTACTTGCGCCAAAAAATATTTTCTTTTTTTTCCTTTAGAGTTTAAAGAAATTTTAAACGATATTCATTTTATGAACTCTTGATAACGTGACCTTCGAACTTGACACCGGTTTCGAGCTTTGGCGACAGATATATCGCGCATGCACAGCTGTTTCCCGCTATGATGGAACGGAGCCACGTCTGTTGCAGAGAGGTTTTCCTTCTTCACAATATACATATTTTTTGATTCTAACCTTCATGGTACCGTATACTAGGATTAAACACATTTTGTTTTATATGAGAACAGGTACTTTCTTTAGTTCATGCACTGCACATGCGATTCTCGAGGTTACTGGAAACCAAAAGTTGCGGGAAACTTGCTTTGCCTTTCTAAAAAGACAATCAAATTGGAGCTGCAAAAATTGGCTCTATGCCAGCTGCCCGAATGACACTCACATGATACACAATTTGCCAAAAAAGTGATCTCTTCCGACGTCGGCGCAAAACTCACCTTTTTTGGCAGGAACATTGCATGAAATTCCCTGAATTTTCTAGATTTTGACTAAAACACTTAAATTCTCTGACTTTTCCCTGAATTTTTTGGTCAATTTCCGAATTCCCTGACTTTTTCCGGTTTTCCAGGTAGCGTGGCAACCCTGTGACAAGAAATAAATTCTCACTAAGAAGTCTTCACATCCTGGGCAAATAGATGTAAATGACAATAGCACTGAATCTCATTAGAAAAAAAGAAACTTTCGCCAACTCTTCAGATTTCGAGCCAATGAAGTAGATGATACATTAAAAAATCATTCAGAGTTCTACAGTAAATAATGCAATATATATTTCACCAAAAATACAAAATTAAATCATAAATGCTTACAATAAACTTATTTTGGAAAAGATTGTTGTATGCATTTATGATTTAATTTGTAATGAAAATTGAAAAGCATGTATTTGCTTTTGTAGTTCATAACTACAAACATTTTTCACAAGAGCAAGTATCTATTTTGTGAGATATGAGGGAGATATTTAAATTAAAACTATTTTAATAAAAAATTTTTACATTCTGTACCTGTCATATAGGCATGTGGGGAAGGTTTGGATAATGCCATTATTGATATTTTGACATCAGTAACCTTAGATTTGAAATACATGAGAGGTAAAGTCTATGATTACAATGCAACCGTGTCTGGGATATTCAAGTTCATAAAAGGTACAGTGAAAGATTTCCTTCACCACTCTATGTTCATTGTTCTTCTCATTCCTTCAGTTTGGCAACTTATATCACACTAAAGATATTCATAATTGCATGGGAGTGATAAAAAAGCATTACACTTTTATGAACACTTCAAGAAGAACAATACTATTTTGCAAGAAAATGTATCAAATTTGTACCCAATTTCAAGAAAAGAATCTCCGAAAAAATTTATATCAGTTATTAGATACAGAGACATGAATCTGTTATGGTGGAATTACTAAATTTTTTGGTTCATGCATTAGAAATACTAGGGAACTGGCATGATAAGGAATCACCTTCTAGAACTCATATATTCAAGTTCTCCAAAATGTTCTGCTTTTGTGATTGCATTATTTTCATTTGAAAAAATATTTTCATATTATGTGGCCATTAAGCAGGATTTTACAGTCTATCTGCGGCAATTGACTTACGACAATAACTAAAGAGAATTAATTATGACAATTCAAAAAACATTTTCTGTGCACTTTATTCAGAGTCAAACACACTTCTGAAGCAAATAAATGAAAATAATTTAGAAACTTCTCTTTCACAACTGGCATGCAAGCAAACATTTCATTTTAATATTCTAAATGAATTCACCACATCCTATTTTTGAATATCAATCTTTAATCAATATATTGATGATGTGATCTTGCACTTAAGGAACATTTTATTAATATAAAGAAGTGTTAATATTTTAATTTTCCAAAAGAATAAATTCCCTGTCCAGTTTGACTATGAAAGAAAACTTAAAATACTCTCTGAACATATATTCTTCTGATTTGTGGAACTGCAATATCAGTATTTAAAATGCAGACTATCAACTCTGGCATTGAAAAATGCATCAAAATCAAAGTAACATAACTGAAATAAAACCTTTAGTGGCCTGCAATAAACAGCCCTTTCTTAATATTTACAAACTTTTGAAAACCCTAATAGCATTACTAACTACCAAATGTACTGTGAAAAGATTATTTTTCTATCTTACAATATCTAGAAAATCATTTACAAAACAATACATGTGAAATATGTGTTTAAATGGATTATGTTTGTTGTATAAATATAAAACATATTTGCAAAAAGAAGAAATTTTAATTATATATAAAAAAAGCATTTATATAGGACTTGGTCTAAATTAAGAAACTGATTTTTAGAAATATCTTTGACATGATAAAATAATGCAAGTATTTTTGTATTGTTAACTGGTATTTTTATTAAACTTTGTCAATAACAAATAATATAAATGGAATTAAATTAATGTCATATATTGTACTTAAATAATGTAATACAGATACATGTTTCTTTGATTAAATGCAAAATTATGCATATTAAAAATTGCACTATGGTAGTTTTGACATCATGATGGTGACTGCACCTTCCAAAATTAAATATTAGGTATCTCACTGGTGATAACTGTCTGCAATGATAAACATTCCATAAAAATTTTTAGAAGTTAGTATCTTGTAAAACAAATACAGTAGTTAAAAGATAAAGATATTTAAATGAAAACAAATGAAATACAAATGACAATTTTAGTAAGATTCATTTTCTTTTATACTTGAATTATATAAATGGCACACAAATGTTGACATGTTGAACAAATTTCTCTAAATAAAAGGTAAAAAGGGAATAGCTGTTGCTTTAGTTCGAAGATGAATGGTTACATTTTTAAAAGATGTAAATATTGTTCTGTTTTCTAGAAGTAAGAAAAAATAGACTAAGTAAAAACGAGAGCATTGTTTTTTTAGCATTTCACAGTGGCATGTAAAAGTGAAGATATGTTCCACACAGATCTGAAAAGCATCCTCCAGTAATTATCTTCTGAAGGTGCATTTAAATTTCATGACACATTTTTATTTGATTACAGTAAGTATCTATTAATTTCTCTTTATAAATATTTATACATTTCCAAGCCAGAACTGAAAATGAACTAAGAAATCTTAAAAACCTAAAAGCATTTACATTTCTTCTATGTATGTGTTTTATAAAAATTCCCAAATATGATTTCCCTACAATCTTTGTAAATGTCAGAGGGAATAAAAATAGTAAAATTTCATAACAAAATTATATAACACAAAAAAAACTTCAAAAGTTTTCATTTTTAATAGTGTACATGAAAGACAATTGCTTGTATATGACTTATCAACTAAAAAAAAAAGCTGAAAAAAGCTCTACACTTAATCTTAATATCTCAGCTAGTCTATCTAAATACTCGGTAGGAGAAACTAAGGCAGTGACATGCATACATAAATAAATTACACATCTTTTAGAATCAATCTGATGGAAGACAAATTTAAACAAAAAATTATAAAAGTCAATGATAACATATGCCAAAATGGTATTTCTAACCATTTCAATGGAACCAGCCAATCTTTTAAAATTATCAATAATTAAGACAAAGGATAATGTTAAAATTAAACAATATACCTTTTTCAATTATGAAATGCAAGTCAGACTAAAATACTACATGTAAAAATTGTATGGCTAGAAAAATGCACATAACAAGATACACAAAAACGCTGGTCCACGGATACAGTTCCCAAGATGTACTTGCTGTCAAATGTTCAAATGATTTTACAAATGGAATCTGCAACCTGTAAAAGCACCTTATTAATGAATTTAAAAAAAGTTGTCAGAAAGTAGAAAGATTTAAAACAGAATGTTTTCATTACATACATTGCAAATTTTAAACAACTTTAGGAAACATGCTAAAATATATACAGAAGCTTCAAGTGAGCTACGAAATTTGCTTTAAGACATTACCATACTTCTTCATGTAGTTTTCATAACCACATATATTTTCCCCTTTGTTCTTGACAATAACTCTGCTCATCCCCTCCCCAAACAAAATAAAAAAAAATAAAAAAATCTGAGCATTTTTACATAAAAAATACAGGACTGAGGTTACCTACGTAAAGAAGATTTTTTAAAAATGATGAACATATATAGCTGTAATTAATTCCAGCAAACTTTGAATGTTCTAACCATTTGATTTTTCAGTTAATAAACCTTTCAAAGATGGAATTCAAAGGCCTTATGCAAAGGGAATGGCTGGAATTATCTACAGCCTGACACCAGACATAAAACGCAATGACTATGTTTGGAAAAGAAAAAAAAAAAAAAATAATAATTAATAAAAAAAAATAATCACGAAAGCATGAAAATTAATTCACAGTTAGTAACTGAGAACAATTTTTTAAACCATTTTGGATGGTCAATACATATACATGCAGTGGACTGTTCACATAATTTCATAAGCAAAACTTTCTTTCTCATCCACAAAGGGTTTAAGAAACTACGACTTCCAACAGTGTAGATGTTTCTGGTTATAATTTAATTTTATAAGACGCTGAAAATGACATCTATGCATATAATAGGAAGAACTTCTAAATGTCTTTCATCTGTGCCATGCATAAGCTACTACATCCAGGACTGCAAAATTTGGTACATAGGTGCATCTAGACAAAAACCAGTGCACCTTCAAGTGATATTTTTCAAAATTTTATGTTTTTTGATGAAACTGCATCAAATCGATAATTCTCTCTCATTATATCAGCAATAATGGCATCTAGAATTATCTCTAAATTAATGCAAGAAAGTAGTAAAAATTTATTGATGATGGTGAGACCCAGGGATTCATTAATGCCAAAGATGATGAATAGATTTATAACCATGTTGTAATTTAACTGTAACTGCATATAAAAAATCATTCACTGACTTTTTACACTTGTATCCCCCCTCCCTTTTGCAGTGTGTTTGAGATTTATCTATCTGCATATTTTTTCCTCAGTAAAACAGCACAATAAAGAAAAAAAAAAAAAGTATCAGATGTGAGTACTGTAAAAGAAATGTAAAAATTGAGTTAAATTGACTGCTGGTTCAATACAGAATCAAACATAAGCCATTAAATGTAGCAATTAATTATCCTGCTTGCATTATTAAGTCAAAATGCATGTTAATTTTTTATTTTTACTTCCTTGTACGAAGTAAAAAGGAAGTATTGTAATCGTGAAAAGTTTCAGGCAGTATATTTCAACGAAAATATCCATTTTGACCGCTATCGAATACAATTTAACGCTGTTTTTGTGTGATATCTGTACATAAGGATAGAATAAAATACTCTTTTCCTTCAAAAAATTATAAAACTGCTTTACAATTAATTCTGAAGAGAGTTTTTTGTGGCATCTGTACGAACATATTTACATACGTACGTACGTATCTCTCATAACTCAAAAACGAGTAGCCTCAGAACGTTGAAATTTTGTATATAGGACTGCTATAACATGTAGATGTGCACCTCGTATTTGGTTGCAATCAGCCGCACCAAATGTATATAAATATATTTATATATATATCCACTCTGTTACCCGGCCCAGTGATCTCAGTTTCATTACTCTTATATGTTTGTAAATTGTATATTTTTTGCTTTAAAAATGATTGAATTATGTTGTTTTTATCTTCCGGTTAAGGCTTTTATGCCTTTAGTAAATCTGCACGCAATATTTTTAGAATTATCAACAATTTTAAAGTTGTCTAAGTGCCGCTAAGCCTTTTTTTAACCCTTTGCGGTTCAGTGTTCCACTACATGGAACACCCAAATTGAATCGCTTCTGAAACCTTTAAATTGAACCATAAATAGATAAAAATGCCTTTATAATATACTTTGAACTTTTCTTTTTAAACAGTAGATAGCAGCATATCACAAGGAGACACAGAATTTTCATTTTTTATGTGTTATTAAAATCCACTTTTTTTAAGTAATTTTCTCTATTTTTTTAATGATAAAAAAAATTTAATTTGGAAAAAAAATTAGGCATAATTTTGCTGGCTGTACTCCAAATTATCTGTTCTACATTTTTTTTTAATCTTTCAGAAAAAAACCATACACAGAATCATTGAATAAACCCAGGTGTTCCAATAGCGGGAACACTGCGCCTTTAGCGATCTCGTGCTGTTATGAATCAGAACATCTGTGCTTAGGAGAGAACATCCGTTGTTTACGTTTTCTGTTTTCATTGCTTTGGGGGGAATGAATTCAAACAAAGCACTATTAAGGGGTGAGGTGTTTTGTGTTATGAAAGCCCTAATATTGGCATCTCGAATTATTTGGGAGTAGTTTTTAGGCGGGAATTTTATTAGTAGCTTGACTCATCTTTAGTTAGACGAATTTTTTGCTGTCGCTTTTTAGTCTCATTCCCGTTAATTTTCAATAATTGTGTAGATATTTTTGTGTATGTATATATTATAGGCTTATTTTTCTTTATTGTTAATATTAATCGTAGTTAATTATTTTAATCGTGGTTGGTTTGAGCTTCCATCAAAAAGGTGTGACTTGCTTTGAACAATTTCACGAAGCTAAGAAATAGGAAAATTTGTAAATATTTTTGTATATAGGACTTGTGTATATAGATATTTATCTCATTTATCCGTATATATTGAAGAATATTGTGTATATCCAGGAAACCATATATACAGCCATAATACAGAGTTTTTTCATTCTTATACAAACGCTTCTACTCATTTTCATGCTTCACTGCAATGCTCGCTTAGTCGCACTTTTAAAAGCTCTGGCGGCGCAGTGTTCCACCTCATGGAACACCCACAGAATTAAAACGGTAAGTGCAATTTTTACAAAATTTTACCTGTATACTCCTTTAGGACTAAATAGACTGCATACAACTTTTTTTGTTGAAATTCCGACGTTAACGTATAGTGCGCTGCAAAGGGTTAATGGCGGCCATTGATGTTTACCTTTGAAACAGGAGACTAGTGGATTTGTTGCCAATCTAAAGAAACTTAGTTTCACAACAACAAAGGTAACACATTCATTTATTGTTGCCAATTAAATCATGCTTAATTCTTTCTGGAATTTTTTCAAGGAAATAAGTGTTTAAGATTTACTTCATAATTTTTAATACAGATATTTTGAGTTTTTATGTATTTTTGCCTTCTCGCGAAGTGAGAACTGAATTAATTAAATGAGAAATACTCAATCATCTGTGAAAAACTGTTTCTTTTTTGTTTTGTTTGCTTAATTTCTTTTATACATCATTTTTCTACCTTTAATATCTTTGAATAAAAACACGTGGGAACGATTAGATATTCTATTCTTTAAATGCTATAAATTTTGTGCATTATGAGTTTAATATGAACGAAATATATAAGTTAACTGTTATATAATTATTGGATTATATAACAGTTAACTTAGTTTCTGTTGTATAATTATTATATAGTTAACTGTTATATAATTATTACTACGTTAAGTGAATCTAGCGCCAGAGTGTTGCTATGGTAAACAAATATTAGAGTGAATTTAAAGAATGCATTTATTCTATTGTGGTTTTATGCGCTGTCGGTGAAGTAGATTAATTCAATCCAATAGTTTAAATGAAATACAAGAAAAAATGCGTATAATTTAATATTCCGTACAAGGAAGTCACGTGGTGTACACATCAGATTTTTTATTTATGTACTAGCCGCCATGCGGCTTGCCTTCATCTGGCTTTTAAATGTATCAGAAAAACACATAAAGTAAACAACAAACATTAAATTTAAAAACTACACAGAATTTTACTCTGCAAAACAAATTTATCAAAAGAAAAAAAAAATACCCACAAAAGCCATTGTTGCTGATATATCACTGTTGCCATTGTTACTGATATCAGCACTGTTGCCACTCTGAAAAATGAGGGCAATAATTCTGCACAGTTTTTTAGATTAATGTTTCTCTTGGTTACTGGATGTTTGTCGACAGAAGGCAAAGGGAAGTTGGTTAATTTACTTATTAGGATAATTAATATTTGTATTAAAGGATATTGCTTATTTCATTGTAATTTTTTATATTTAATATATTTTTATTGATTTTTTTAAAAGTTGTTTGCAGAGTAAAATTCTGTGTAGTTTTTAAATTTAATGTATGGTGTTCCCTTTAGGCATTTCCCCGGTACATTTAATGCCAGACGAAGGCAGGCTGCGTAGCAGCTAGTACATTTAAAAAAAAAAAAAAAAAAAAAAAGAAGATGCATTTTGGCTTAATAATGCAAGCAGGAGAATTAATTGTTACACTTCATGGTTTACGTTCGATTCTGTATTGAAACAGCAGTCAATCCAATTAAATTTTTACATTTCTTTAACAGTACTCACATCTGATACTTTTTTTTAAGTGTGCTGTTTCACTGAGAAAATACTCACGTGCTGTATTGCCGAGGGAAAAACATGCAGATATATAAATCTCAAATGCACTGCAAAAAAGTGTGTGTGTGGGGGGGGGACAAGTGTAAAAAGTTTAAGAATGATTTTTTATATGCAATTATGGTTAAATTACTACATGCTTATAAATCTATTCACCATCTTTGCCATTAATGAATCCCTGGGTCTCACCACCATCAATAAATTTTTACTACTTTCTTGCATTAATTTAGAGATAATTCTAGCTAACTGGTAACATCAAATTCCTTGTCTAAAGAGGGAGGGATTACACATTTTATGGAAGCAATCTAGTTATTTTAAACTAATCATAAAATATCAAATAAAAATTTGGAACACATAATAATATTATATTAAATCACACAGAACTACTTTCCTCCTACTGAGAGAATATATTTTAAAATTCCTAATACATTCTTTTCAAAAATAGCAATAAACGATGGAATCATGAGTGTAAAAACTTACCTAAAATTGCTATGAATCTAGCTTAGCCAGCTCACTGGTATAAATTCCAATGCTTTCCATGTCATGAAGAACAAAATATATTTGTTTCAATGAGCTGGACATGATGTTAACAAAATAATTTGAGATTGCTTTTAGAATTATCTGCGCAGCTTGTTGCTTAGGAAATCCAGAGCTGTAAAAATAAATGCAATTCAGATAGATGCATAAGATTGCTATTTCTTTCTAAATAATTGTGTTAAAACTAATATAATATTATTAGGATTCAGAAATAAAACAAAAATGAAAACAATTTTTTACAGTAGTGTTCCCATGTTGGATATATGTTCCAAGATCTTTTTCAATGAATATAAACACTTTGTAAATAAAAGTTTTGCATGGCAGCTGCAGCCAATCAGTTATAAATGAATATTTTAACTTTTATTTTTTATTAAAATCATGTAAAAGTACATATTTCTTTATTTCCAATATATTTCCATTAAATTAGTTATAATGCACTGATATTTCTGAGGGACATATTTTTCTTAATATTTAATTTTATTATTCAGCAGTCATGGACAAACATGATTACATTAAATACAATCTACAATAACTGCAAATTCATAAGCTTTCATAAAGCATTGGAAAAAGTCAATTGATTTCTTATACTAAACATTAACTTACCTTCCTGAGCTTATTGATGGGATAGCAAGTGACTTTAAGTTCTTTTCATCAGCTATGGCTAATATATTCTTGATTGCTTTCTCCATTAATTCTGCAGAATTTGATGAACCATATGAAGGTAGATGACAGTGGATGACATATTTTGCAGGAAAATTGTGTCCAGGACAAATCACAGCTGGAATTAATTTTGGATGATTAAAAAACAAGTGAAAATTTTACATCAAAATTTTAATGTAATGCCTTTGTAATAATTAAAATACCTCAGCGAGGGAAAACATAACACATTTACAACCACAAGAAAGAAGTAATATATATAGGATTAATGGCAGCAGGTAAAATTGTTAAAAACCTGACAAATGTTTCTATCACGAGCATTTTACGAAGTTTCCTCTTGAAGAAAAGAGACATATTAAAAATGCATCAACACTTTTCCAATTGAAATGAATGCCAAGTAATGGCTAATGATTAATATTAATGTGCATACCTAACTATGATAAAAATCCAGTTAAATACATTTATGCCAGTACTGCTAAAGGTGCTCAGCCAGCGGTGATTTTATCATTCTTTAAATTTTTTGCAACAGAGTAACCAGTTCTGCACCAGATTTATTAACAGATATAAGAGAGAAAAGCATTCAGCTACTCCAGAATTACAAATCAAATGCTCACATAGTGATAACACTTAATTTTTAAAATATACAAAATTTCTGGAGTATCAACTCTCTTAACACCACCTATTATGCCATCTACCACCTACTTATTAATGTTTCCATAATAACTGTTTAATTTTCTTAAATGACTAGAGTCTCATACATATACACAGTGTCTATAATTAAAGAACCCTATTTTAAAGCTGCCTACAAACAAAATCACTGATCAGAAAATTGTGAAATTTTGTGGCAGAACGAAGGGATAAGAATTTCTTTCAGTGGGGGGAAAAATATTTATAAATAGCATCATCAGAGGAATTATATTAATAAATTATACCTTTAGCCACTACTTCTTTACAATAGTTTTACAATTTTACAGATGTTGCTAAAAAAATAAAACATGTTCTACATGATGTCCATTCTTTTCAGCTACCATCTGAAGATCACAAGATGGAATTGTAGAGACATTAGGTTATTTCGAAGCAGGCGAGACGAAAAATTAGCAATGCCCTCACTTAGACTCAAACCATAATACACGCCGACCATGCTGACCATGACATCACGAAGGCATGCTAAAAATGCAGGAGAAATACCTTATAGTATGTTCCACAGTTGAACGAAGTGTGTGCTGTGACATGTCCAGCAGATGGTGTGAAATGCTGGCTTTAAAATCAGGTAAAGTTCTTGGACTATCTCAACTTAACATATATTTCAAATGTCACCAAAGCCAAAAATCGCATGGATTGAGGTCTGGGGATCGGAGAGGCCACGCATTACTAAAATGACATGCTATTCTGTAAAATGACATTTAAGAACATTCCTAACACACCCTGCAATGTGTGGTGGAGCTTGTGCAAGGCACTGACATGTTTGCACAGACAGAACAATTTCATTCTCCAACAGTGATGTATAATGCTGCCTGGTAATCGAGCATGTCAATGGACCTACGGAACTTAGCCCCTCGAAGAAGTATGAGCCGAGAATAAATGACGCAGTGACGCAGAAAAACCACACCATACCATCACTTTTGGTGAATGCAATGGAAACTCTAAGACCAGGGTGCAGATTTTCTGATCAGCAGTTGTGAGTATTCACTGAATAACCCAAATGAAGAAATTGTGCTTCGTTTGTCCAGAGGATATTCCAGGGCCATTCTGAATCGACCTCAAAGTGAGCAAGAAATAGAAATGAGAAACAGAGTGGCGTGTCAAGATCATGCGAAAGCAACTGCTGCACTAGTGAAAGTCTGTAAGGGTAATATTGGAGGATATTCTGCAAGATTTTATAGACAGTTAAATGTGGTCTATACAGCCCCTCTCCTTTATGCCCAATATTGGGCTAGTCAAAGTTTGAAGCAGCATTCTCTAGGACCTGAAGCACAATCTCTTGTACTGCTTCTGCAGAAACAGGTTTCATTATCAACAGCCACTTACAATGTGCAGAGTGCATTCACATTTTAAAATGCTAGAAAACAAAAAACTACAGTTCACATCATGATATCAAACTGACAATAATTCTATCCAAGAACAAGCTCTGTTAAAAGAATGCCTTTTTGTCAATAAAAAAGAAATACAGTATGCTCTTCCAGCTTATATTCAATATAAATTTTCTCATAAACTAATTTTATAATCCGTTAAAAATTGCATGACTTGGGATATCTAGGTCATCAAGAATACTTCTGCAATATTCTGATTTTTGCATCATTATCCAATTTTCATCATGTCATGCTAACTGTAATGAAAGCTTTTTTTCTCTGCAAACAATGCTGTTCTGTGCTTGCTTTTAAAACAAAACAAAGTGAAATATGTGATTTTTCAATTTCTTGACACTCTGTTATGTTTAAATTTAGATTAAACAATTGGTAGTGAATGCAGCTTAAAATATACATAAAATTTTTGTTAAAATGTACATACCGTATAAACGCACGTACAAGTCGAGATATTTTGGACAAAAAAAAGACTTCAAAGTGGGGGGGTCGACTTATACGCGGGGCCATAAAAAATTAAAAAATTTCTTTATATAAGGCAGTTGTTTTCTTCCCGCACTCAATTAGATGACTTATCAAGTAGTCACTTACTTGAAGTAATTCATGACTTAAATTATGTGACGAACTAATCACAGAGTTCATACTTTAACTAGAGTAAGTTTCGATTAAACCAAAGAATTTTCGGCCCCCGAACAACCGATCAGTATCGAGCAATAAAAAAGTTTCACCAGTTTCACCAACACGCCAAGAAAAGAGAAATGCAGATAGTTTTTACGTACATGTAAGTCTTTATAATAGTTATTGTTCATTCATGAAATACTTTTGTTAACAGGCGTACACGTCAAAATTTAACAAAATAGCCCACACAATAACTGAACTGTTCAATACAGAGTTCGAGACTGAAAATATGTATGATGACGAGCCAATGATGACAAGAAGAGTTCTATGAAATGTTTGACGAATCTGACCATGAATCAGACGTTGAAGGATTTTGATTTGTTTATTTACCAAGGTATTTTTTATCGTATATTTACTTTTTTTTTCTCAGATGATTTTGAATAAATGTAGTACTTAAAAAAATTTTTTTCGAAGTTTCTCGATCAATTTCGGAAGTGGGGGTTGACTTATACGCGGGTTTCTTATTTTCTACGAATTTTTTATGTTGAAGTGGGGGGTCGAGTTATACACGGTATCGACTTATACGCGGGTATATACGGTAAGTAAAATGTGCGAGATGTAAACACTTTGCAAAAATGTGCTTATAAAGGGGGGAGATGTGAAACTTAGCAAGCAAAGATCTCAACTTTAAGATTACCTACAAGTCTTAATGACAGTCATATGAAGGAGCTGATTCGTGCTATCTAAGAAGAAGTGGCACAAATTTAGTGGAAGAATAGAGAATTATGTGAAATATTAAATGCCATTATGTGAAATCTCTATGTGATGAGAAATATAAAGAAATTAGAAAACTGAATACCCTCTGGCAGAGCAAATGCAAAACTACTTTGAAATGTGCCTTTTGCTGCTTTTGCAGAATGGCCCATTTTTGTTTTACTTCTAAAAATGGATTTGTGTATGATTCAGATGTCAATGTGTGATGAAAAATGGATCTTGCTACAATAACAGAAAATGATCAGTGCACAAACAAAAGAAAAAAACTCTTCAGTTCTTTTTGACTTCAAAGTGGGACTTCAGTTCTTTTTGACTTCAAAGCCACATTCTAGTGACTTGTGACTTAATTCTTCTGAGAACTGGCTCAAATATTGCTGCATAATTTGCATCAAAGAATTAGAAGTTTGTCAAAAGTTGAAAGCTTTAAACTAGCATATGTCATCAGAAATGTTCAATCCTCCTCCACAATAATGCTAGATTACATATTTTAAATACGATCCTGGAAAAACTACACAAGTTCACATTCTTCTGTTCTGTCCCCAACTCATCATCAGTTCGTCTGCACTTCCAAGTCATTTTCTAGATGAAAAAAGTAGGAAATGATAAGGGCCTTGTATGAGTCACGGACTTCTACACACATGGGATAAATCTGATTGCCATACTGTGAAAAAAACATATTTGACATGTTGGTGCATGTTCTTACGAAGTATGATGCATAAGGATAAAGTTATTTTGATAGTTCAGAGCCCATGAAAATTTCTTTGGCATCAACTGTATTATTAATAAATCTGCTATGCTTAAAATAAATCATAAACATGTTTAACATTACAAACTCTGTCAATTTAAGCAAGCTATAAAAAATCAAAATTAAATTTGCATATCCACAAAGCACTCATAAACGTTTACCTCCAGCAATGTCTAAAGGTCCATTGGAAGATAAAACATCTTTAACTTCTTGCTGAAATTCTTTACCACCAGCTTTTTCCAAAGCTTGACCTAAGGGAGTACATATCTTAAATCACTGAGATAACATATATTCTAAATAAAATACACATTATAATGGGTTGGTAACACAGAAATGTTGTTTCACACACAGCTTGAATTCAATATGCATCGAAGAATTTTAACCTTCCAGCGCGCGCATACGCACAAAATTTATGACAAATTCAGTTTTTAATGCACATTTTTCGCATATCGAAGCTGAGACATCGGAAGGTCTCTCCTTTCTACCCTTCCCCACATCATGGAATGTGCCAAAAGGAAGGCATTTGAGTTTTTTTTTTTTTTTTTTTTTAATGGGCTTTTGTGCTATGTGGCAGCTTTTTCATAAAATTTACGACACGCACGTGGTCGTGTTTTAAAATTCGGAAAATATTTTTTTACTCAAATATTTTGTAATTTTGTGTTATTAATTGCCGCGTATTATTTTATTTTAAATACATTTGGCTCTGTAAATTTTATATCGGTTTTCAAGGTAAAAAAATATGTGCCATCAGCTGATTTTGCTCGGATTCTTCAAGAATTATCTGTTGAAGAAAAGGAAGACAAAGAAACCTTTGGATGGAACAATAGCAATTTCCATTCTTTATTTTCTTTTATTTCTATTTTTTAGAAATAAATAAAAACATTAAAGTTAGTTTAAAGTGCATTTTTGTAACCAGTAAGAAGTAAATTTCCTTCCAGAAGTAAGTAATGCTAAACTTACTTTTTTTCCTACCAAGGTGTTTTCCTTTTTTATTGTCTATACTTGTCTTTGATGAATATTAAAATTAGCTTCGATTTTAAAATATAATTATTAAATAATAAATTTAAAATTTTCTATAATGAAATACATCATTGCTTTTTCCATCTCACCAACATAAGAACTTAAAAATAATTTCCTTATATTTGAATGTGATATCATTTGTATTTTGCAATAATAAGATTAATATTTTATTTCTTAACACATTTATTATCAATATTCACTCATTTCTGTCGTTTTTCGTGCCCAAAACCATAAAATAACGGGATGTCATAAAAAATATGACGCACGCTTGCTTATATAAAATATCCAAGCGTGCATGCTGGAAGGTTAATATTACAACCAAAATATAAAGACCAGCAGAAAAATATGCTTAAATTACATCAGCTCTCTGGAAAGTGTTAATATTTCATTACCAGAGGTTTTTAAAGATGCAACATCTAATAAAGCTTTAACGACTATTTAAAATATTCTGTCAAAATCCATACTTCATCAGTAATCAATAGACTTTTTATATAAACTGCACATACATGATTAATATCTGAATAAAAATTTTATTCACTAACATTTTACTTTTGAGATAAAAGATACTGGTTGACAGAATAATATAAAGGGAAAATCCAAAAAGTATTGCCTTTAAAATAAAAACTTTGCCACAAAACTAGCATAATTAGCTGAAATGCATGTCAAGTAATCATAAAAATGCATTAATTAGGAAAATACTATTTCAGTTTGCAAATTTTTATGAAGGAGGTCAAATACTTAAAAGACCAACCAAGCACCAACTGTCACTATGACTGTTTGAATGGATTAATACAAAACACATTTAAACAATCCAGCTAGCAGTGAAAGTGATAAATAAGAATCAATTCCCATTTACATTGGCAAAAAAAAAATCCAATTCTAAATAACTGATGGCATTTGCTTATGAAAGACTAATTTAATTTTCAGCATTTGATAGCAATAATGTTATTTATTTGTAAACGATTAATTGAGTTTCATTGATTTATATCACTTAAGAATGTTTTGGTTTCCAGATGGTAAGGCTGTGGCAAATGTTTCTTATTTTAGAAATATAAAACTTAAAAAAAATATACAACATATGTCTACACAGCATGGTTATCTTCTTTGGTAAGGAATTTCCAAGATAGAGAACACTGATGTCATTTATGATAAAGAACATCATGGACTTTTTTTAAAATCTATTTATATTAAAATTTGTGAATATTATTATGAAAAGAAAAAACAATCGGGCACATACTATGATAAATTTGTAGAATCGCCATTGAAGCATCTAAGTAAATAATCCAATATTACTATCCCTCATTCCCTTAATTGAAAGTAGATTTAATCTAAAAGAAACTTTCTCCTCATATGACTCTTTATGAGCATTCTGCTATATAGAGCTGCTAACGTTTGTACTATTATGAGATATTTTCCCCTTTCTTATAGCTAAAAATGTTTCTACTTTCTAATTGTTACTTGTGTATCACAGTGTGGTTAATAAGGTAAGAGATTTTTATTCAACTTTAATATTTGGTAATTGTCAGTAAATTGCATTTTGATATTAAACAGATGAACTGCACATTTCTTCAACATTTGATTATGAGACAGAGTGCATGTTTACAGCATAAAACATATTAAGATAAGCTATTATGAATAAAAATAGAAACAGAAAAGAAACTATTCTAAATTATCACTCAATAATCGAAAAACAAATACCAAGCCTGTCTTTCAAAAGCAAAACATACCAATAGTTGTGTATTGCACATTTGAAAAGCAGAAGCAAAAACGGCTACTAGCTGTGATAATAAATAAACAGTTGTAAAATTAAACAATAACAGCTATCAACTATGGAAATACAAAGTAGAAACGATTCTGAAAAAGAAAAATTTATAGGACCTTAATCACAAATGAGACACCAAAAGAAATCATTGCTGCCTGGACAAAATGAGATGAACAAGCACAAGCTACCATAAGTCTACTCATAGATGAAAACCAAATCGTGCATACAAAAAATAAAATAACAGCTAAAGAAATATGGAACAAACTACAGATTCAATAAAGAAAATCTTTCCAGTAAACTTTACCTTCTCAGTGCTGTACATGTTAAAAGTAGAAATTGAATATAAGCTCGAACAAATCAACAAAATGCTTGAGATCATAGATGAACTGCAAGGAAACAACGAAGAAATAAAAGAAAGTCACATTGCTGCACTCTTACTAAGCAGCTTACCAAAATGCTGTGAAAAATCTTATTACAACTTTAGAAGCATACTCATTAGAATATGTAAAAACAAAACTGATTGTGAGGACATCATTTGCGATGCTGAACAGCCATTTGTGAAACTTCTTTTTGCAATTTTTTTTCGCCAGAGCAGCAATATTAAGCCACTCTAAAATCAAAAGAACAGTGACTGATTTTCTTTTTATGAAATTCAATATGTATAAATTGTAAACAAATGTTAATCTTATGGGAGTCAGAGGAGTGCTTACCATTTTCCTACATCAATAAACTTCACTGGTTTACCAAGATTTGATCCAATTCTATTTATTAAGAATAAGAAGAAGAACATACAATGCTTCTGTATGATGGTGAGATGTCATTGACATTCTACACATGTTATAAACAGTTCACCTGTTATTAAATATGTGTTAGAGACAACGTTGTAAGCAACTACTTGTCCACTATAAAGTTCTGTAGTTTTTCTTTTTTTTCCTGAGCTTGAAAGTGGATTGAGTAAAAGTTTTGATTTCGCAGCGTTTCTGTGTTTGCATGGATTATGTTAAGAATTTAGGGTTTCATTATTTTTATTCATCTGAAAAGTATAAAATTTTGAGCATATGTGGTACTGAAATACTTCTGAAATGGGTTAAGTCAACTTTAAAAATTAAAATTTTGTTCTATATTGCAATACGTCTTCGGTAGTAATGTATACAATTAGGCTGATAAATTTATTGAAAACTTTCAGAATGCAACAAATGTGCTAAAAGTAAATGAACTAATAAAAACTAATTTTTACTAAGCAATTTTTAACCGGAAAAACTTCAGCTATAAAAAATAAAATAAAATGAATAAAGATAATTGTACATCCATTAAGCTTAATTCTACTATGGCTGACAAAGACGAAAGTACACAAACTGAAATTAATGCAACAACTGCGACTGTTCCCAGGGTCAGCATTCTTCACCATCTAATAACATTATAGCCTAAGATCTACAGAAACAGACATCAAACTTGCAGAAAGCAGAAATTAATAGGCATAGAAGTTCCAGCCTACAAGAAGACACAGATCGAATTCAAGAAATTGTTCCAAAAATAAGTAACTCAACTGTTATTTACATCAATGCTTTGGCAAGAGAGCTTAAAAGTGCACTCTGCCATGCAAATACCAGGCTTTGAAACAGGAAAACTGAATCTCTGGCCTACCATGACGACTGAAATCAAAGGATCCAGCTGAGTTGTCTATATATTCATGACAATGCATCAGCAACCTATTTTTTAATTAACACCAGAGCAGAAATATCGGTTATTCCACCATCACCATGGGAAAAAAGGACTGTGTCTAAGCTTGAGCTATTTGCAGCTAATGGTATAACAATCAAACCATGTATGATGGTATAACAATCAAAAAATTACTAGAACTGGATTTAGGGCTATATATATCTTCCAACTAGTCTTTTATCATTGTGGATGTCAATAAACCTATCATTGGAACAGACTTTCTCTCACATTTTAATTTGTTAATCAATAGTAAAAATATAAAATTAATTGACGGCACCACCTCATAGACGATTAAAGGTACTTTGTGTGGCAATACTGTCATTCCTAAATTCATTAGTAATACTTTTCAAAAGCAATATAGAGCCAGTCTAAATAAATTTTGTAGCTTACTTAACAAAGAAAATGATAAACTTGAAGAACAAGATGTGCTGCGTTACATTGAAACCAAAGGTAACCCTGTATCCTTTAACGTCAGAAGACTTTCCCAAGAAAAGTTGATTACTGTGGAAAAGGAATTCAATTATATGTTGCTGCAAGAAGATCTCTGCAGACTATCCAAAAACAGCTGGTCAAGTCCATCACACCTCACTTTAAAAAAAATCTGGTTACTGGTAATCCTGCCGTAATTAACATGGCCTTAATGCAAATACTGTACCAGACCATTACCCACTACCATTTCTATGGATTGTACATATATTCTGAGATAAAATGATATTTTCAACCACAGATTTGATAACAGCCTACCAACAGATTCCTGGTTATGAAGCTGATATTCAAAAGACTGCTTTAACACCTTTCGGACTTTGAATTTTCTTATACGACATTTGGCCTATTCAACGATGCATAAACCTTCCAAAGGTTTATGAATTCAATGCTTAGTAGCCTAAACTTTGTATTTTGCTATTTTGACAACATTCTCATTGCCTCTCATGACACTGAATCACACAAGAAACATCTTGAACTAATCTTCCAAAGACTCAATAACTATAAACTTTGCAAAATGCAAATTTGGTCTGAACGAATTTGAATTTTTAGGTTATGAAATATCAACAGAAGGAATCAAACTTCTTCCATCAAAAGTTGATACAATTAAACAATATCCTAAACTAGAATCCTTCACAAACTTGTGCAGATTTTGGGAAATGATGAACTTTTACCCTCCCTTCATGCCAAACAGTGCCAAACTACAACCATTGACAATCTTGTTTAAAGGAGTAAAGAAAAACAGCAAAATACCTTTAATTTGATGCCGAAGATTTACCGAAGATGTGCAGAAGGTTTTCACTGATATTAAAAGCGTACTGTGCAACTCTGCTATATTACTTTGCCCCAACCAGACAGTGCAAATGATCCTAACTGCAGATGCATCTAATTCTGCCATGATCCATCAACTATACAATAATGAAAAACTACCGCTAAGCTTTTTCCCCAATCCCTATTATTAGCACACAGACATTACAGTGCACATGATCGAGAATTACTAGTAATCTATAGAGTGGTAAAGTATTTTAAACATATTCTGGTAGGATGATCATTTACTATCTTCACTGATCATAAACATATCACCTTTGCCTTCCAGCAGAATTTAGATAAAGCTTCTCCAAGACAAGTCCGGCAGTTGAACTACATTGTCAAATTCACTACAGACACCTGCTACATTTCTGGAGAAGAAAATATCGCAGCAGACACGCTGTCAAGAATCAAAACCATTGCTACTCTAGCTCTAATTGATTATATAGTTATTGCAGTCTTTAAGATTCTTAAATTAAATTTCAGTTTCAAAATAGTACAAATTTCTATCCCAGATAGCAATGAGAAAATTTACTGTGATACCTCCAATTTTAACCAGCTATACATTCCTAAAGAATTTAGTGAAATAATATTTTTCTCTATACATAACTTATTCCACCTTGGAATTTGTGCAACAATTAGAGACAAAAAGATTTATTTGGCCTGGCACAAACAAAGACTGTCAGCTATGAACTAGAGCATGCTTGCAATGCTAATGAGCCAAAGTTCACAAACATACCCATGCTCCAGCTGCTGAATTCAAAAGTTCCCCATCAACATTCCAAGCATCTTAACATCAATATTGTTGGCCAGTTACCATCTTGAAATGGTTTTAGGCGTACTTTACTGTGGAGTAGAAATACGACTGCTATACTCATTGCTTTCCAAATTTGACGTTTGCCTTCATGTGTTTAATGCTCATACCAGTTCTTACCATGATTTTCATTATGCGTGTCTGTTGTGCATTACACGAGTCAGGCCTTTCAGATCGTCGCATTTTCCTATAAATGTGCCAAATGCAAGGACTCTTGTTAGAGAATTAGGACTTGATCAGAATGCGAAAGATCACTTATTTCGGAGACTCAATGAGATTGCTAGGCTTAAAAGAAGTCTTTTTGCAAGTTACCCACAGAACTGACATATGTGCGTAAGGACAGAATAAAAGATTCTTTTCCCCCCAAAAAATTATAAAACCGATTTAAAATGAATTCTGAAGAGAATTTTTCGTGGCATCTGTACGTACGTACGTATCTCATGTAACTAAAAAACGAGTAGCCTCAGAACTTTGAAATTTCATATATAGGACTGCTATAACATGTAGATGTGTACCTCGTATTTTGGTTGTAATCGGCTGCACCAAAAGTATATAAATATATATATCCACTCTATTACTCGGCTCAGTGAGCTCAGTTTTTTTATTCTGATACATTTGTAAATTGTGCATTTTTTGGTTTAAAAATGATTGAATTATGTTGTTTTGGTTAAGATTTTTATGCCTTTAGTTAATCTTCATGCAATAATTGTAGAATTATCAACAATTTAAAAGTTTTTTAAGTGTGGCTAAGCCTAATTTTTTATTACCCTGGCAGTCATGTTTGTTTACATTTGAAACTTAGTAGAATAGTGGATTAGTTGCTAATCTAGAGAAACTAAGCTTCGCAACAACAAAGTAATGTCTTCTTTTATTATTGGGAATTAAATTATGCTTATTCAATCTGGAATTATTATTTAAGTTATTAGTTTGTTTTTGCACAAAAAGTGTAATTTTAATTGTAAAAATTGTTTTTCTAATTGCTTCAACTGCACTCGGTGGTTTATGGTTTTTTATATCTTTCAAATTTTAATGAAAATATTTTGAATTTTTGCCTTGCCGCAAAGTCAGAACTGAATTAATTAGTAGCGCATGCACATTAGGTAAGCGGTGCTGAATCGTCTGTGAAAAACTGTTTCTTTTTTATATGTTTAATTTCTTTTATACATCATTTTAGATTTATTATAGTATTTGAATAAAACTTGTCATAATTCTTCAGATGATATAATTTTTGTACACTCTGAGTTATAAAATGAATGAGAATTAATGCTGTTAAGTGAACCACTAAAGTGTCGCTATGGTAAATAAATACAGTCAAAAGTCGTTAATCCGGACTCATCGGGACTTCGCCGATTCCAGATTATAGATCATCAGTTTAAATCTCGTAAGATGGCATGCAGAAATTCTAAAATTAAAAATATGAAACCGTAATTTATTAAATAAAGAACAATTATGATCTAAAGGGTATCAAAATTTACAAAAAAAAAAAAAAAAAAAAGCTTAATATTTATTTTTTTACTTTATGAAACATTTCTTTCAATGTAAGTTGTTTAAGTTGCTTCATTTTATGTGATAATACTTTCTCTTTAATTCTATAAACAGACATAATTTCTTGTTCAGTTTACAAAGTTCCACTGTTCAAGTCCCGTTAATTGCTGTGCTGAGAATACCGACTAACTTGTCAATCGAAATTTTTTGTTTTCACTAACCTCTCTGTCACACATTCTTCATGTCTTTATCCATTTTTTTTGCAGCAATTCCACTTTTTGTTTGTTGGACATCGAAACATACTTTCGTTTTGTAGATCCTTGGGAAGTTCCAGCATCAGAAATTCTATTTGACATAATTGAAAGTTCAAGTTTACTTTTATAAAATTGCTCTTACAGTCTGCAAAAAATAATAAGCGGGATCCAATTCGAAGATTAAGGAACAACGCAATCATTAACATTAACTGAAATAGATAATTAGATAATTTTAGCTTACACCGTCCGTTATACATTAAACGCGCAGGCGAAAACGTATTCTGCACTTGCGCACACGCATATGCGCAGTAGTCAAGGTCTTACGCGCACGCGTAAAACGCCTGTGCGCATGTGCCAACGCGACGCATGCGCAGAAAGTTTTTAGCTTGAGGTCCGGATTATAGATCATTCCGGATTATGGGTGTCCGAATTAACGACTTTTGACTGTATAGTATAGTGAACTTTTAAAAGTGCATTTATTGTATTGTGGTTTATGTGCTATCGACGAAGAAGATTTAATTCAAAATTCATTAATTGTTCATTCAATATGCTTAAATGAAATGCAGGAAAATTGTTTACAATTTAATATTCTGTACAAGGAAGTCATGTGGTGTACACATCAGATTTTTTCATGTTATGATTGTTTACTTTTCTCTCATGTAATCTTTTACTCTCAGGTCTCGACTACATCATGACAATTGGCAAAATATTCGTAACCAACACAAGCTACGTCCATTATAATAACGGAACTTGGAACTGCCTTCCAGTCTTGCAGAATTCTTTGCTCCTGATGAAGAGGGACCTGTACCTGTTTCCCCTCAAAATCGACTCAGATCTTGACTTAAGTCAAACTCAAGGTTGCTGTATTAATAATTTTATTATCATTTCAGCATCATTATGTTTGTTGAAGCAAGGAATAAAAAATGCAGAATGCTTTCACCGGGATCTCAACTCTAGATCTCCTGACTGCTAGCTTGACATGCTTCCAAATATACCATGAAGGCATGCAGTAGGGAGAGAGAAGATATCTTACAATACTACCATTAAGACTATTGCAAGGGGAGGGGGAGAAAATACTTAACAGTGCTATCATCAAGACTAATTTATAATTTCCTATAAAATTTTTGAGTGAAAGCGTTAAAGAAGCTGTTCAAGTCAACATCTTTTGAAGCATACACATGATGTAAACCAAACATTATTCACCTTAAAAGATTTGAATGGGAAGCATATTTCATGTAAAATAGGAAAAATATTTGATGGATTTTCAATTTTTGAAAAATTCAAAAAGTAAAAGATGTGAAATTCGAAAAGTAAAAACAAAGATCGGTTTTATTAAGGAGAAATTAAAAAAAAAAAAAAAAAAAAAAAATTATTTTTTAAAGGGAACAAACTAACTATATAAAAAAAATCAGGAATAGCATAGAAGAATTTTTTGGAATATAATGATATAACAGGTCAAGAATCTGAGGTAATTTTACCGCCAAAGTCATATGTTAAAAATGATGAAAACAGTTTGCTGCAAATGCCAACATCTGATTCCCTTCAAGAAACTGCAGAACCCAGAAATTACATTTGTGTATCAGTCATAAGACTCGTCAAGTAAATCAATTTAATGCCAATTATGGAGAAGTGTGACATCACAACACACTCATGACATCTAAGTTTTCTTTTTAATGAAAAATTATATAAATTCACTGTTACTGCTATATTTTTCCCTAGCATTTTTTTTTGGGGGGGGGAAAGAGTTTGAGGGCAGTAGAATCGCATTTGTGATTGAGCTTTGGTCCAGTAATGACACTTTCAACCTTTAGAATACTGTTATTGACTGCAGTTTACAAAACCTACAAAATAATTTTTTTTGATGTAAAACTTGCATATTTAAATGGACATTTAGAGAAATTAAGTTATATGGAATTTTATCTTAAGTCTTAACAAATTAGATATGGATTATCACAGTCAGGAAGATGCTGGTATGAAGAATTATGTAAAGTAATTTGAAAAAAGAATATAATAAGATTAAAATCAGATCCATGCATTTGTATTTATAAACATTTGCTTAAACATCTTATGATAATAATATACATTAACAACTTAATGGTTATTAGAAATTCAAATTCTGAAACAGATGACTTCATCTCTCAACTTTCTAAATTATGTAAAGTCACTGAAATGAACTTGTGGAATGAAAGCATATCTTTTAAGATTCTAGGAATACTGATTGAAATTTTTGATGAAATTTTTTAATCTTCTATACCAGGATCTAAAATAAAATGTTAGGAAGCATTAGGTTCATTGATGTACTTATCGACAGGCATAAGAACAGATCTTGTTTTTTCTGTTTGAAAAATAAAAATAATAATAATAATAAATAAATAAATAAAGTTTTGTTTGAAAAAAGTTATCACTGCATAATAAAGATCTTCCAAAGAAACAATAGAAAACAGTGATGAGGATATTTAGATACATTATAGGAACACAAAATGCATATCTAATATAAGTTCAGACAACAGAAAATTAAATACTATTTCAGATGAAAGCTGGTTGTATACTACTGAAGATAGAAAATCATTTGGAGGTTATTTTATTAAATTAGGTAAACATTTTATAAATTAACAATGCAACCAACAAAGAATAGTTGCTCAGTGTATAATGGAAATTGAACCTCTGGTACTCAGTGAACGTACATGTGAAATCAGTTGGTACATCATTTACTTGAAAAATTATAACAAAAAGATTTAATCGACAAACCTGTAGAAACTAAAATTGACAATCACACATTGATAGTGTAATGATCCTCAGTTTTGATGAAACATCAGGTTTAAATTAGAGGATTTCCTGTTCCCATGGCAACATAACCTGAGTGTTCGTTAAATGGCCGGAAAGTAATCAAGAGAAAAAACTCATTAAGGATACCTCCTTGGGTAGTTTTCTTGTGACACAAATGAAAAAGGAAAGGAGGGAGCTTTTGTCCGAGAAATGCCATAGGTCTAAGTCACATCATGCGACTGTCTGATCTGCATCATGTGGAAGCTGTGTCTTTCTTTTCTGTAACTGTGCTGATGCTTCAGCTTTTATTTAACCAAGAAATCTTTGTTTAAGTTTAAAAAAAAATATTAAAAAGAGCACTGGTCTGATTATTTTCCATCTCGGAAGCTCTCCTACATTACAATAGAAAGGATAAAAAACCCAAATCCAAATAGTGGCTAATGACACATTAATCAAAGATATTTTAGAGAAAAAGATGAATATGAATTGAAGCAGATCATCCCTCATTTTGTGTATTTTCAAAATCAAGAAGCAGTCATTTAACCAAGCATCCACCTGCTATAAAACTGAGAGGTAAACTCTTAAAAGATGGACATAACTGATGGATTAAAATTAAATCTTTATCAAAAAATGATCATATTTGTTTATAAAAGACTAATTTAGTTTTCAATTTTGCCAACACTGATGTAATTAATTATAAAAGATTGAGTTCCCTGGATTTGGCATCAACCGAGAATGTTATGTTTTGAGATGTTGTGCATGATGAATGATCTTTAATAAAGTTGTTTTATGTATTTCTCCTTAATGTTTATTTTAGAAATATCTGGCTTTTAAAAATAAAAAAAGTTTAGAAAACATTCAACAATAACATAAGCAGAAAATACATATACTGTTTTAAATTGGACAATTTGGCCCATTAAAAGCAGTGTATTTTCCTAATTTCAAAAAGTAAATTAAAAATCTTTAGTACTGTAACTTTCTGTAAAATTAGCAAGTTGCCAGTGAAAATAAAGATCTGCTATAAGACCATCAACAGCTGTTAGAAGTGAGAATTTGTCACACTGCAGGGAATTAAAGTATAATAAAAGTAACATGATGCAAAAATGGGATTAGTCAACTACAAATATTTCTAATGCCAAAAAAATTGTAAAATAGGTGAATCACAATTTACTGAAGCGAACAGATTCATTGGTCCAGTCTTCAGTTCTGCATCGTTGTGAAAGAAATCATTACTTTATGGAATTGTAATTACAAAGAAAAATGGATTATCTATAACAATTCTTCAACCTTATCAATGATAATCATCAGAAAAGTTATCCAAAAACATTTAAATGTATGGTCTTCATTACAAGGTCTTAACTGCTAACCTTGAGAATAATTTTGACATAGTATTAAATCAATTTATACAAGTAATCCAGCGATTCTACATCTACATATCATGGTTTAACAATAATAATTACTGGATGAACCAAATTACTGCAACAGTTCAGCATAAGTAAATTGTAAGGGACTACTTCTAATCCAATAATGCAATGCAAGATATCATACTACTTTACAAACTTGGTCAAATATTTGAGAGTTCATAAAATATTTTTCTGAAGTGTCTTTAAACTTAAGCTCATAAAATTTTAAAATATTTAGCAAGTGCCAGAAACATATATGAAAATATAAATAAAATATTACCTATATCACTACTCATATGCAAAGTGGCATTTGTGGGATGAAGAACAGCATCAGATGTCACATTGATGATATCACCTTGTATCACAATTAACTGCAAGAAAAATTACTTTCTCAAATATACAACACAGATTATATCATATTTAAAACAATACCTATAATCCATTAAAATGACAGATTTTATGTGCAGTAAAACTAGTTGTATGTGTTAAGAAAACTAACACATACAAGCCGTACAAAATTTTAAACTATTGATGATTTATTATTCTTTCAAAAACAAATGTTTAGACACAATAAACTTTCAGATTAAACAGCATGCTGGCACCAGCATGTTTCAGTTTAAGAGTGAGTTGGCACCAAATTTTACTGGGGACAAGAATGGCAACCTTAATAAATGTATACAATTTCATGAAAAGAATAACTATTTTATTAAATCTAAAGTGAGCCCCCAAAGCAAAGACAAATACAGAAATTTATAAATATGAGTGCATGTAATTATTCCAATCAGCAACTCTACAATGTTTCATCCCTAACTGAAATTGGAAGAATTCTACAAACATCATGAGCTCTTGTCATCAGAAGTAAATAAACAGAACTCTCAGAAAATGAAAGCGTAAAGCTTCTCCAATCAGCTTCTACACTGTAAGATTCTGCCCTCTCTTTCCTTTTTCTTCATTTTTCTGTGATATAATATTTTTCCGCAGTTCCATTTAGGTACTTCAGAATTAGAAAACTACAATTTCATTCTGTTGTTTTTGAGCTAAATATTTCTGTATAGATGACACCTTTCTTTGAAGAAATGCAAAATTTTCAATTTATTTACCACATTTAGCACTTTGTTGAAAAACTTTTGACAGGTATCCCATTAACTGGAAAGTATCATGAAAGCTCTAGACGGAATTATTTCAGCAAATTTGCTTATAATACCTAAGCCAGGGGTTTCCAAACATTTTCAGTATGTGGCGCACTTACAGTTTGGTTATTTTTTCACGGTGTTCCTGTTGCAATATTTCTACCATAACGATAATCAGGCACAGAAATAAAAACAAGAATTTTATGAAAAAGTATAATAATTTTAATTGATCAGCAAACATACAAATAAAAGAAAACTTCAGCAATAAATTAGAAACTCATTGTGACAGGTAAGCTTCTTGATGCCCATACAGTTTTTTCAAATCAGAGAAGACGACTTGAGACAGTCTCATTTTTTGCCCCGCGTTGATTTTCGAACAATATATGGTTTTTATTAGAGCGAGAGCTGAAAACCAAGCTTCACACAAATAGAATGCCACAAAGGGGATGAGGATCCTTAGAGCTTTAGAACTTAAAATTAGATACTAAATTTTGATTGAAATCCAAAACTTCTAATTAAACTCTCTTCATCTTGTGAATGAAAAGGATCTTGGATTAACATAAATTTCTCTACATTATCTTCTGCAAACCAGTCAGTGAGCTTTGAAAGGTGTTCCATGAAAAGGGACAGCAATTCCTATAGAACGAGAACTTTATTAGAAGTTGTGTATTGGTACACTGTAGAAAAATAATCTTTCTACACTGACCGCTTTCAGTGGTCTAGTTTTTATACAGTTTTTATGTAGAGTACCATTGTCATAAGCACTATCAGTGCATCACATTGAGAACCATCATGTTTTTATCCACAACTCCAGCTTTTTCCTAAAATCTGAAATCCTTTTTTACAAGTTTCAAGATGTGCATACTGTAGTGGCTGATTCAAAAACTTTAGTTTGTCAAAAATGCAGTCCTAATGTGCTAGTGTAAACAAAAAGACTGGGTCTGCAAAATTCTTAGTGATCGCATGACCTTCCTCTTGCAGAAAAGTATGAAATTCTTGATGCCATCCGAAGGCACAAGACTGGACATTGTCACGCAAAAGCTATCGTGAAATGCAATAGCATAACATAGCCATGTGTTCAGCTTTCATATCCTTGCATAGGTTTTTGAAAATAATTGCTTTTGGCCATCTAGTTTTTATGTAGTTCCCTATGTCTATGACCTATTCTAACGTCATACTCAACTGAGAACTAAGCGACTTCTCAGTAAATAATGTAGTGAGTCCACACAGCATGCAGTGTTTTTCTGCAAATAAATGCCTATAGTCCCACATAGCGACCGTATATTGATTTAGCAACCATCAGTACATAAACAGATGCACTTTTTCCAATCTAAATAATTTTCCATTACAAACTTGTCAAGCATTTTGAATAAGACTTGTGCCTCTGCAGTTCCAATGATGCTCTCACAGAATAGAAGATCTTCAACATTATCATCTAGGAAGCAGACATAATGTATAAGATTTGCATCTTTATTACTGTCAGTAGCCTCATCTAAATGTGGACCAAGTTCATGCTCTCTATCAAGTGATCATTGAGATTCTGAGTTACACATTAAATTCTTCGTACATATGAATTATACATTGAGTTCTAATAGCTGCATACAGATACCTCAGAAATGAGTTTCTGTACCATAATATTAATTATGTCGATAGCAGCTCTTCTGCAATAGTGTGCAGTTTTTTTGCACTTCATCACTCAAGCTAGCTTGAAAGAAGCTAGCTGCGAGTTGCTCGGAACTGACAATTGCTTCGTGAACACACTGCCTTGCTTTTGTAAATCTTGAAACTTCCTATTAAAAAAAATAAATAAATAAAAAAAGAAAAAAAAAAAGAGAGAGAGATTTGTCTACCAAGTAAGGGTGAATGATCTCAAGATGTCTCTTTAGCTTACATGGGTGCATACATCTGTCATCATAGTATTTCATTATTATCTACATCTACTAAAATAAAAGCAAAATCAACGTGGCTGTGTATTATCATTCATAAAAACAAAATCAGGAGCAATGGCACCCAAAAAAAGATGCACGTGTGGGGGTTTACTTCATCACAGTAATGATCTCAGATAATTTAACCTCTGCCAAAACTGTGGAACTCCATCCATCTTAATGCCTTCTCATATAAGTATGACCCAAATGGTCTCTTTCCCTGATGTTAGTGGAATGAAAGCATGACCCTACCTCTTTACATATCAGCTGGCACCTGATTGAAATTATTATCATTGTTAAATAAGATGTGATTTCATTTATGAGTTTTCCAAGCTTTGTATTCTCTACACTGCTGTAAATGGTGCCGCTGATGGATTATTATTATTAATTGTCATCAGTCACCATTATGTTCTTTGGCCAATATCCACCAACCTTGTTTATATCTTTACCTGTCATTTGGAAGGCTTTCCAAGCTCATGAAAAAATACTTTTATCAATTCCAAATTCTTGAGTGACAGATGTCAAACTACATTCTTTCTCAAGCATGCCAATCATTCTATCATGTGTAAAATCCTCCTGCTGTTTTTTTTTGTAGCACGGTATGTACAATCTCTCCGATGTCATGGTGCTGATATTTGCATATGCACTGCCCTTTGTACCGATAACAAAAAGCTTTTTCCAACAATTTCATGGTTACATGTTGAAAAATGAATTTGTTTGCTTACATTTTGAGCATTAGTCTATATTCATTACTTAGAGGGTGTTTACACACATTTTTTAGAATGATTTTAGGGTCTTTTAATTAATTTTTAAAATGTAAAGAATATCTTTTCAAAGTTTCATCTGAGAGCTTTTTTTCTGGACCATAAGCCACATCATGATTCTATGACAGAAGAGCTGTTCATAAAATTTATATTCTATTCCTCTCTCACTACTTTCCACAGTCTCTCAGTTGTGATGGTTTTGCACTTAGAAAGAGCTCTTTTGAAGAGACCAAAGACAGAACAATCCATGAATCAGGGGACAAAAATCAGAGGACTTTGCAGAAGTACACTGCTCAAAAAAATTAATAAATAAATAAAGGGACGGTGCTATATCTCCCGTTCTACTGGGCCGATTGACAAAATTCAAACTGCCATGTCTCGAACTGTCAAACTGCCATGTCTTTTCATGTCTTGAAAGTGCGGCTTAGGATATATATTAGATTTATATATAGCACTATTCTAACATAGATATTTTGACACAAAATCGGACTTTTTCTGAAATAACATATCATTTTTTTCCCATATTTCGATTCTATGACTCAAATTATGCCAGAATACCAAGTTTTGTAAAAATCGTACAAGTAGTTTTTAAAATATTAGCTCCTCAATGTTAATTGAATTTGGTAAATATTCATTAATATCTCTTTTTTTATTAAACTTTTTTGATTTTTCTTTCACATTTCGAAATTTAGTTCATTCATTCCAAATAAAATTTACCCATTTTTTTTTTTGTTTTATTTTTTAAATTTCTAATTTTTATAAATTTTTACGAAAAAAAATTTTGATAACCATCATCATCTTAAAGTAGGTGTATTTTTAAGCATATCTGCAAAAAATTAGACTTTTTTATTCAAAATTTTCTAAGATATACACGAATTTACATATTTTCGCGTTTTGAAATTTGGCATCTTTTTTTTGGGCGATAATATATGCCTAATGTGGTTTATGGATTTTTGTTAGAGTGAATTGCCACAGCTATTTTTAACCTTAAATTTCAAGTAAAATTTTACGGAGAATTAATTATATGAAAATTTTTTTCCCTCAATGATGCGTAATAAATATTTATTAATACTATATGAAAAGCTATTTTTTTAAATTATAGATGATATTATTCAAATTTTTAACTTTTTTTTTTTTTTTTAATTTTTCTCTTTCTTCCTTTTTAAAAAAAAAAATAAGAGTAAATTTTTACCTTCGGCGTTTTATCGTCTGCTACTTTACTTCGTTTAAATCGAATTGTCTAAAACTGAGAATTTTCGTTTGATGTTTATTTGAATTTTATGAAAATATTTTATGACATTAACTGCATAATTTATTTCTAAACAAACTGTTGCTTATGAAGTGGCTGAAAGAGCGGCTGATACTATCATCCATATTTTTAAAGCACAGTATATTTTTATAGAAACATAAGATTTAGAATAATCATTTTTATAAAAGTCAAATTATGATATAAACATACAACCCTATAGAGACTGAATTAATGGAAGTTCAATAAAGTCAAATTATGATATAAACATACAACCCTATAGAGACTGAATTAATGGAAGTTCAA